CTTCAGTCATGACATCCGATGATTAGATTTGACATTTATTTAATCTTTAATGTAATTTTATATTGTAACTACCAAACCAGGCCAAAAAATCCTTACGGACACAACACAGAAAGAGATGCCACAACAAACAAGTCAGAGGCTGTGAATAAATTTCTTTTATAAATTTGGAGATTGAAAAACGATAGAAGAGTAAGGGAGAAGGAAACCAAACACCCAAGAATTTTTTTTTTATAAGAAAGTACTGTTCTTAGGCCAGTGAAAATCCCGATCAACCTAGCATATGCATGCAACCCACACCAATTTACACGAGCCAACACTTAAGGCATTCACTGCTTGTCAAGGGATTCGAACCAGGGACTTAGGCTTTGCCTAACAAGCTCTTCATCACCCGGACAAACAACGATGAGTAACACGCAATAATTTAGTTGAATTAATCCATTACTGCTACATATCAAAAGTTTTTTTTCACAGGACCATTATCTAGTAGTTATTATATTTATATATGGATATCATAGTTATTTAGCTTGTATGAGTGTCATGAAAGCTGACACTCCTGTTCCCAGCAATTTTCTTTTCTCCTCGCATTACAAAATTTGAATCTTTTTTAAATAATAGAATCCACCATTTTTTGAATTTTAGGGTTTGACTCCAGCATTTTATAAAATTAATTCTGCTGTGAGAAAAGTAAATTAATTATTATGATTATAAAAAAAAAATTATGACATAATTTTATGAAACGATTAAAAAAAAAAAAAAAAAAAACAACCAAATGATGAAAAACAAAATCACTCAAAAGCTATCCGAATAGGATTAATTATTCTATGCGAACGTCATACGTCATCTAGAGATCAATCAGAATGTGTCACATCACCTCTTCGCTCGATATCGCTAACATGACACATTCTAATTGATTTCCAAACAGTATTTCATGTCCAACCTCCGCAGAGAATAATTTCTATTGCAATAGACACCTAAAACTTCGGAAGCCAGAAATATCACAAATCTGATTTTACTTTCAACATAAAATGAGGCAATAAAATCTTTAAAATAATATATTTTCAATCTACAAGCAAACAAATGATCCAAAAATGCTTGAAGAAGGTAGGAGTGAACGGTAGCCAGATTCTTTTCTTTAAACTTTTCAAGTCAATTTCATGCACAGTTCAACTTGATTTGACCACTCTTAAATTATATTTCCATAACATATAACATACTTCTTTATATAAAACAAAATTTTTTATGTTGTTGAGTTTATTTTTAATGGCTATGAAAAATCAGATTTAAAATCCGTCAAAGATGACTGCAAATTTTTATAAAGATTATCGTAAAATTTTTAAGAAATTATTCCAAAATATAATTTTCTAGCACAAAAACTATTTTGAAATAATAAAAAATATGATTAAAAAACAAAACTATAAAAAAAATATCTCAAACTAAATTTTAATGAGTTTATTATGAAAAATTTGAGTTGTTTTTTTTTTTTAAACGGGATATCCATCCGATGCCACCCTAAAAGGGTGCTTGTGAGCTTGATTAATCCTAAACTGATCTAGAAGAGGCACCCACCACTGAAACCTCCTGACCCGTACTTGATTGGGCCCCACTTAAGAGAAGGGGGGTTCCCAATCGTACTCGCCCACCAACTAAACTAAGCACCGGTAGGTATTTGAGTTATTTTGAGCAGACTGAAAAATCAAATACAGGCCTAATCTTTGGCAGGTTTTCAATGATATTGATGATAAGGAATTGGATAGTAATAGAAAGAATTTGCTATTTATTACTATCTCTGCTATTGTTTATTTCGTTTGAAAAGCCTGGAATGATAGATTATTCGGCAACAACGTTGAAAGCATCACTACCATTTTTTCTAAAATCAAGAGGGCTGTATATCTCAAGACTTTCAGGAAAAATTGCTTCCAAGATTTGCTCACTTGATCTTTGCCTTTTTGCTGTGGAAGGTTGATGTCCCTTGGACAGCTTCTACTTGCAACCAGGGACTGGATGGGTGTTTTGAAGGACAATAATGATGGCAATCTTTCACTCTCCCCTTGGATGGTCTGCGACTGATACTTCTCTCATTGACAACCAGGGGATTCCTCTACCCGTACGGGTATTTTTGGCAAGCTGGGCGTTCTTATTGCTGATTGCTTACTGAGTCCTTATTTTTTTTTCTGCATTTCCTTTTTACTTGTATTTTTACAGCTTTTTCCTTCTTCTGCAGCTTTTGCTGATAGGATTTTGTTATGTGCTTAATATTTTTTTATGTTAAGCATTTGGATTTTCTTTCTGTAACCTTTTTTTATCAATGAATGGGCTACTGCCCCAAATATTCCCAAAAAAAAAAAAAATCAAAAATCAAATCCAACTCATTGATTAGAGTTGCTTTAACACGCAAAAAATTAATTAAAAGTCTAAATTGGAAGATTTGAAGCTGAGGCCACTGCACCATTACACGCCATGATGCAGCATGATTTAAGCAATGACTAATAGCCACGGCAAGACAGGTGTGGTAGGAGGTAGAATTAGCTGGAGCTGTGTATCAGATCCAACTCATTGATTAAAGTTGCTTTAACACGCAAAAAATTAATTAAAAGTCTAAATTGGAAGATTTGAAGCTGAGGCCACTGCACCATTACACGCCATGATGCAGCATGATTTAAGCAATGACTAATAGCCACGGCAAGACAGGTGTGGTAGGAGGTAGAATTAGCTGTTAGCAATATACAGCTTAAATTTTTCCCAGAAAAAGAAATAAGAAAAAGAAAAAATAAATCCAGCTATAAGTATATTGACAGCTGCAGCCGTCAACTCAGACCAACCTATCACACATACCTAACTGATCACATCAACTCCAAATACAGCTTTTCATAATGAAAAAATGGAAATTATCTACTGAAAGAGATGTTTTCCACACTGAAACCGAAAAAGAACCAAAGCTCCTTAGCAATATCAGGAAAGAAGAAGTGGATGAGAACCAAATTTATTGACAAGTAAAATCATGGCGACATAAATATACATATACAGATACGCAGAAATTATGATAAGAAAGTTGTGCTGTCAGGCGTTTTGACTTGCTTACATAGAAGAAGCTTATTATGCATTTCAAATGGTATATAAGAATGGATTAGAATGAGCCACAGCTCCATTAGATCAAATGGTTGCGAGCACAATTAATGCATGGCTGAGATGAATTATTAGAAAAGTGCATATCGGAACTTCCAAAACTATCTGTTTCTACTTGGATTATAAAGTTAAGAGAACAAATATATAACAAATTTAAAACAAGATTCTTATATCTATCTCAAACATTTGGCTTTTATAAATCTGGCCATTATCAGTTTAGCTAATTTAATTTGGAAAAAAAAAAGTTTTAAAGTCGGTGCAGCCCATTCCAAGTTCCAAAAACACCTACTGATTCCACAAAGAACTGATGAATGACACCAATTTACAGCAGTGGTACCAATTTACAAAATCCTTTGCCAACTGCAACAACATCAAGTGATAAACTACTTGGGGTAAAAGAATTCATGTTAAGATTTTTCGACAAATTTTATAATGGTTGTTGACTGCCTAATGCAAATCTCTATTTTTTTCATCTAAAACATGGGACCAGACAACAACATAATTTACAAATTACTTGATCAAAGAAAAAAAAATGAACAACTTCAACAAGTGTAGAGGAACAACATTGTTTGATGTTTTTCCAACTTCGACAAATTTCTATAAAAGAGAGAATAAGATTAGAGTTTTAGTTTTATACGGAATATGGTTGTGTCGATCAATCAAATTGTACTATTGACTCATACTTCAATTATGTAGGTCGAGCTCATCGGAGCGCTCCAAGGAGACCTTAATCTGTTTGGGTTTGTAGATCTTGCCACCAAAAAATTTTTCCCCCTTACAACCATGCAACATTGTATAGTTGTGCACTGTAGCGTCATATGATGCAGTATGGTGGCGCTGCAATCTTGACTTGGTGAAAGAGAATGGAGCACTGCAAGTCTGGCTTGAGATAGAGAGTGAGCGTTGCACGCTCCAAACCTTGGCGTCGCAGTGCTGCGAATCGTGCTAGGCAGTTTTCTTTCTCGTGTTTCATGTTTAACTTGATGTGTTGCATTCTTTAGTCTAATTTAAGTGTGTCTCTTTGTCTATTTTGAATAGAAAATGAAGAATGAAGCGAAGAGAGGCAAGGAGAGAAGTGAGAGAAAAATATGTACAATTTCTCTCAAATTTTTATGGTGAATTTCTTGGTGCGGTGTGGCGGGTAGATTTTCCCCAATTTCAAGTTTTTTCTTGTTAAATCCTAGTATTCATTTCCGTTGTTTTCTTTTCTTATTTGTTTCATTGTGTTGTTTACTTCCCAATATAGAGGAAAGAAAGCAGGAAAAGGTTCTAGAAGGTCTTCTAACAGATTGGCCATTAATAAACTCCATCAGCAATTGGCTCTTCTGCAGCCACTTACAGTTCATGGGATTAGGAATAATCTTGTGGTGCATGTTTTAATTTGTTTGGTTTATTGATAAAGTGTACATGAAAAAAGTAATAACTATAATTATTTAAGTAGCCAAATTTATGCTACTACCTCTAATATGCACAAGGATGAAAGAAAAGTAAATGAGACAAATCTGATGTCTCACAACAAATTAAAGCTCTAACAAATATGTATGTTACAATATAAAAAAAAAATCCAAACGTTTCTAAGTGGAAGGAGACCCTAAGGTTTAAATTCAGAAACAGATGGAATTAAAATTTCACCCAGCCCTGATACTTTGAAATGCAACCTTCCAAGGACAAAAGAGCAATATTATGGATCAATATATTCCATATCAAGAAACCAGATGGATTGTTGTCGATTTGTCTGAAAACTCCATAACTAATGAAGAAATAAGTACATAAGTTTTTTTTTTTAAAGCTAAAACTTATTCTTCGAAACAGAAAAGCTATAGAACTAACATAAAGTCATTTCCTAATGTTAAAACGTTATAAGGAAAACACAAGAGTTAAAGAAAGGATCCACTACATTAAATTATTAATCTGCTGCAGCACTTCAGGATCCAAAGATCTTGAAAACTCCTACCCTAGCAGAAAATGGGGCAGAAGATAAATTTCTTTGAGCACAAATTGAATGACAGGGATAGAAAAAGAACCCAAAAGAAAGCAATGAACTTCAGAAGTTACAGTGAAGAAATGAGTTCTTTCAAATCAGGAGTAAAATCTGAATCCCGCTCCCCCCACCCAAAAAAAAAAAAAACAGAGATTACCAATCAGGCAGAATCAATATTCACTGCCATGAACATGCGAAACTCGCGTTCCGTTTGACCGATTTGTAATTTGCAGTAAAAATCCAAAAACTCAGCATCCCATCACTGCACAATTATAGACAAAGCTCCCAGATTGTTTCCTTGCAATCATATTCCACTCTGGTGGCTCGCCCTCTTTAGGAATCCATGAGTGGAGTTCAATCACTCCTCCACCCAGTGCCCTTGGTCCACCTATGACTATGAGCTGCTCACCACAAGCCCTAAATGCAAGGCCCCATCCGTTCATAGACACAGGCCTTTCTGGCAGCTTCCCCAAAGTGATCCAGACGTTATTTTCCTTGTCATACTTTCTTATTTCTTGATGTGCGTAATGTGCAGCATACAGTACATTATTCACCACTGCAACAAGCGGAGGTGCACCACTCGCACCATTCAAACCTAGTGACATATTAGGAATAACCCTCCAAGTGCCTTTTTCAGGGTCAAATTCCTCTCCACAAGTAAGCAACTCAGTATTGCTAGCCATTCCTCCAATTACATAAAACTTTTCATCCATGAATACACCCGAGCACATCTTCCTTGGTTTGTTCATGCTTGGCAGTGTTGTCCATGTTTGTGTCTCAGAATTGTAAAGCTCTGCAGAACTTAATATAGCACCAAGAGCATCACTGCCACCAGCGACGATGGCCTTATCTCCAGAACTTGCAGAGCCAAATAAGCACCGAGGTGAATTCATTGCAATACCAGGTGACCATGAGTTTGTAAGAATTGTATATCTTAGAACAATGTGAGCATTCACTTCCTTTCCAAAGACGAGAAGCTCAGTGCCAACAGCAAGGGACTCCTTGTCGGAGCACATAAAGCATTCATTAGGGGGCATCTTAGGCAAATTGATCCACCGGGCACGATATGGATCATAGGCCTCCCATTCATTTACATTGCATGAGAAGTATACCCAATGCTCCGTGATTTTGTTCTTTCGACGCCGTCTATACAGCTCTCCACTTCTGATGAATGAGCGAAATCCATGGTTGAGAGAGGCTAGGACGCCATAATCAGAGCGAGAGCACCACATCATACAACTAATCGAATTGTCTCGTCCAATTGCACTAATGAGGTTATCTGAATCACGGCAATCGGATTTAGAGGTAGAGGAATCAGTAAGTTTTGGTGACTTGTTCTGTCTCCATTGATCCTTGTCCATAACCTCAGAATGCCCTGCAGAGACAACATCATGAAGCCTTTTATTGCTAGATTTCTCGAGAATATGGTTGGTCATGTATGACCACTTGGATTCTTGTTCGCAGGAGCTCGGCAATGCTCTTGATATTAAGCAGGACTGGCCTACCAACATCTCTATTGAGACCGGGCTCTAAGGAAACTAAGGTTGCTGATCCAACCACAAGTCTATGTTCCGTCCTTCAAGAGATATTCCTCGTTACCCTGGAAGACAAATAGAATATTTTCAGTATGAAGATTAGGTAATGAAGGCACCAAAACGAACACAAAGAAGGGAGTTAAAAAAAAAAGGTTTTATCCAGTAAAGAACAGATCCGATAGATATATCCAAGCATCAAATTCATAGATTACACCAGCAAATAGGAAGGTAAAATCTGCACGAAAAAGGAACATTTTCTTGAAAGGAAAATCAACCCAACATAGAAATCACGTTTGAGGAAGCCGACAAAGCGATCTTACAACAAAAAACAGATCAAACGCAAAATCTAAACAACATGGAAACACAAAAACCACAAACAATTATCCAAGAAAAGAAAGAAATACAATAAAAAGCACCAGTAGAACTCCAAAACTGATCTTGGTAAACAAGGAGAAGAAACCATCGGGCCCAAAAATCTTGGTTAAAGATCTCTTGATTTCTGAAGGAAAAAAAAACAAAACGGAGTGAATCTAACAGCGTTGAATATCTCCTTCTTCCCTTTGAAAGAGATCGATCTAAGCATATCACCAAATTCTTTAAATCCAAAAGATCAACAAAGTACTCAAAAGCAAACATCCAAAAACAGTTTTTTTCCTTTCCCGGCATCCATCTCAAGAAAGAAGAAGCAGTTAACGAGAGAAACTAAAAGACTTACAGCTGCCAGAGTGAATGAGAGCAAAATTCTCATAATGCTTCTTTAATCTCTTGTTATCTCCGTCTCTAGCATATCTCTCTGATTCGTTCTTCTTCTTCTGGCTTCCAAGCAGTCTTCGTCCTTGCTGTTGTTCCTTCTAGGCAAGGGGAGCTTGAAATCTGGAGCTGCGTCGGGTTTGGGGATGTGTCTCATTTATCCCCTTCCCACTCTCCTGTTCTTTTCTCACGATTTTTTTCTTTTAACTTATATTTTATTTTTATTTCGGAGAAAGACAGGTAAAACCGTAAAACCATTTTATTACGGCTTATTTTCTTTAAATTTGGCTTTTTTTTTTTTGGCTTCAAGAAAAGCAACTTCAGGAGGAATTTTCCATTAAGATTTACCATTTAAAGATTTTGATATTGGTCCCACATTGGTACAGCAACTTGTCACCCATTATTGCGTACCCATACTTTCATCATATAAATTTCTAATTTTCCACATTTTTTTATATTTTGAACGAATTTAATCTTAAATTTGAATATTATTTTTTTATCTTAAATTGAATAAATTTAATTTAGAATATTATATTTTATAAGGGACTCAATTTAAAACTTTCAGATCGATAATTTGAATTCTCAACCATCGAATTAAAAAAAAAACATATCATTTAAATTTTCTTTAAAATATCTTCAATATTATTTATTTTTCATAATATAATCATATTTTTTATTTGAACATTATTTATTATTATTATTTTTAATTGTATTAAAAAGTCAATAACTTTGTTGTTATTGTAATTAAGGATCTCATGGTTGCAATTGTATATAAAAATAACGGTAAAATTATTATTGAAAAAATAAAATTTTTAAAAGCTAATTTGAATATTATAGAGCTTTTTTTATGTTAAAAAAGTTGAGCATTAACTTTTTTTTTGGGACATTTAGACCATTTAAGACAAACTCACACGCACAACACATACATTGACTCGAACCTAAGATCTCTTAGTTGGAAGCATAAGCTCTCAACCAACATGCAAAGATGAGTTGTATTGAGCATTAACTTCTCATAGCTAACTTTTTACAGCATAAAAATTTTATAATCAATAAGTAAATTGTCTTTAAACGAGAGTATGTTAATTTTGTCTAATAAGTAAAGCTATAAGAAAACATTCCAAATAAATAGTTCATAAATGTTTTCTTCTAAAATAAAAAGGAATTCATCTTAGCCCTTTTCTCTTGCAAAAAGGTAAGTTGAAGTTCGGGGAGGCAAAATGTTAAAATGGAGCATATAGGGGATGTGATAGGAGCGTAATGAGAAATAAATTTAAATAGGATAAAATGTCATAACTTATCACAAATGTGGATCAGCATTTGTGAGTAGGGGTCTAAGTGGGCCTTGATAGCTCAAACTCAACTCATTAATGAACTTGCGAGTCGAGTTTAATAAGCCATGTGCTTGACCTTAAGCACAAATTATAGATTGTATAGTATACTCACTTGAGTCAGAGCTTCACATGACTTGGCTAGTTGGCTAGCCGATTGATTCGATTAATCTTCATCATTTGAATTAAGGCTCTTTGGGTCGCAATGTCAAGAGTTCCTCTTTTTTTTTTTCAAACACCATTAGCCCTATGATTGTGTTCTCTAGCAAGCTCCCATCATAGCATTCTTTGGCTAGCATCCATTAATGCACTAACTAAATGCCTCAGGTCTCGTTGTTGCCTTCTTTAGTGAGCTCTCACACTATTTTCTTCATTCTTCATTCATTCCCTCATTGACTTCTTCAACAAGCTAACATCGTTGCCTTCTCAAGAAGCCACTCATTTTGTTGTTATCGTCCCATGGAAGCTCCCATCATTGCATTTTCTAGATGCTCCTTATCCAACACTCTAGCAAGGTCCCTTGCTGCTTTTTACAGATGTCACTGGACTTGTCACTGCTTTCTCTAACTAGCCCTCTTTAAACAATGCTCAAGATCAGGCTCAAACCCATAATTTTTTTGCAGGATAATGATCTTGACTTTGGCTCAAACTCAAATTTGATCCCACCATTGAGTAGGCAAGCCAAGCATAAGTTAGACTTGAATAAATCTTTACTTGAATCACTTAAATGCCTAAATGTGAGTAACCCTTATTAAGCTAGTGTTGAAATTTCCTTTGTAGCCATTAGAGGAGATAGTTGTTCTAGAAATTAACTATACAATTTGTTCCCTAAGTTTTCACTATATTCTCTTACTTCCTACTCTCATCTTAACTCTCTAAATTTTTTCCCAGCCCTCCAATTGTCTATTTCTTACCAAAGAAAAAAAAAATCAGCATAATGCGTTATCATTCATTCAGAACAACACTATCAACTAACGACACATGTTGATAGATATCATGATATGGTTTTATTTAACATTTATGCCAAACATATATTGAACTATTACAATACTTTTCATCATCAAATGAATTGTTAGATCCTCATGTAGAAGCATACGAGCAAGATAATGAATAGTAGCTTAAGTCAAGATTTCAATGAGATGTTGGGTGTTGAAGATAGTTTCAGGGTTAATAAAATACTAATGTGAATTGCCAAGTCATAAATATGCCAACTTGTATTTATCAATATTGAGGTAGTTAATGTAATGATATTGAATAACAAGTTTGCCAAAGTAATTCATAGAACATAAGAGTGGGATGCAAATAATGTACATTATGATCCATAAATTAACTTAACTCAACATATTATTCCAGATTAGTTACTCATAGGTATATTACAAGGCCAATATAAAACAATTCTACAATGGGGGCCCTAGGGGCATAGGCCTAGTGACTAATTTTTTTAATAAAATCTAAAATGTTAATTAGATCTTTGAAATCTTTGAAATTAAATAACCTAATTACATGTCACACCCTACAATCTAAATTTGAATGAATTGCACATATTTCCAATCAACACATTAATAACCAGAGCTGGCCAATTGCATTTAGGAAAAGTAAATAATAAAAAATATAATTACATTTCTATAGTAAAAATTTATATCCTAATTTATTATCCAAAATGATATATATAATAGCCATGCTATTCACTAACAATAGCACATTACTACAATTATATCATGATTACAAAAGAAACTATAAAGATCAGTATATACAAAAATAAACTTCAGACTGCAGCCCACAATCATCTAATTCTACAAGATCCTTATCGTTGCTTGAAAACATGCAAGAAATCATATAATGAGTATATAACCCAGCAAGTAACCAATATCTACAAATGAAATCAATACATCAATAAATAGCAGTAATCATATTCGTAGCAGTCAATATGAAAAATATTATGTATATCATATCATTCATGTACAATCTTATCATATACGTATTAATCATATCCATGTCATACATCATATGTTCATATCAGCGTTCTATCATTCTAGCTCACGTCAATCATGTCAATATATAGATCATATCATCAATAAATCTATCTTATCTGCCATATATAATATTTTTTTATTTTTATAACATAAGTCATTACTACAGTTATATTATCATATATGCAAAATCTATCATATCATTACATACTATCATGTATGCATATTCGTATGTATTCAACAAAGCAAGACATTCAACTTTAATGTGGTATTTTTAATATTTTTAACCCCAAATGTTGACCAATGTATCATCAAAATTTTTCCTACTATCATTATTTATAAATCTTAAATCAATTCACATGTAGCTTTCAATAAATCATTAAGAGTCGTCACTCTATACTCGTCGCTGTAATTCAATCAATTGGTTATAGGCTAATATTCAAGATTACACCATAACTCTCTTATTTAAAGGAAAGCCCATCGGCACAAACTCCTATATAGGGCATTATATTTTAAAACCAAACCCATATTAATTAAAATATTGACAACTAGCCTTTCTTTTTTACATACAAATATCATATTCTTTCTATATCAATTGAATCATTTGCTTTAAGACCAAACCCATATTAATTAAAATATTGACAACTAGCCTTTCTTTTTTACATACAAATATCATATTCTTTCTATATCAATTGAATCATTTGCTTTATATAATATAATATGTTTCTTATTTATATGCATATACTATGCCCTAAAATGCATGCTATGTAAAATGAATAATAATCATATGCATGTCATGTATCTCATATACAAATTCAGTATAATAGCACCTGATTAGTTACAATCAATATTTTTTCCATGCTCATTTCATATAAAATGTCATATCGGCCAAACCATCTAATGAATACTTAATATAAACTAATCAAAATGCTTATAATGATAATATAAATCACATATCAAAGTCACACTATAAGAGTTCAAAAAAATAAGAGATTATTCTATTTTCTTCTGATTTGGGAGAGAGATATATACAAAACTCAGAATGATTGAAAATATAAGTAGAGCATAGGCCACTTACAACAATCATAATAATTTGATAGAATGAATGATAGATGATTGAGCTTTGGAGGACCTTTCTATCTTCCCTCTCTTCTCTCTCCTTTCTCTTATAGTTCTCCTTTCTTTCCTTCACCAACAAGTCACAAAATAAGGGGAGTGGCTTAAGGGATGGTAAGGGATATTTATATTTGATACATCATCAAAATTTATTTTGACCGAGCACAAATCTCGAGGCAAAATTAAGTTTGAAACTTTTGAAATTTAAATTGGGACCATCCGGCCTCCGATTTCAGCAAACTTACAGTTAAACTGAGCGTCTCTGAATCACAAACCTAACAACACCAAAATCGACTCAATTCGAGCCCAAATGAGTTCAAATCAAAGACCCAAAGCACTTTTGGAAGGTTTAAGCCACAATTTGGATTATCAAACAGTTTCTAAACATGTCATACTTATAGTCGAATCGAGTGGCTCAACGAGACAAATCCAATGAGCCCAAGATTAATGAATTTGGATATCATTAAGACATTCAAAATCCCAATAAAGAGTCCATGATCAAGGGATTCAACATTAGCTGTCCATCCAAACAACTCCCAATATACCCTTAATTTTTCTCCTATTTACGGGTCATGCCACTCTATGAAATCTATAAAGAGAACCCTCCTTTCTCTTGAAAAGGAATCCAAGCAAAAGAAAACAAGAGAGAGATCGTAGAATGCTCTTGCCCCCTTGCTCCTCCTCATCCACAACCCGAAGTTCCGTCGGACAACCGCCTGACGGTAGAGTTCCGCCAGACCACCACCTGACACCCGGAGTTTTGCTAG